CCCCAAAACCCCAAAACCCCAAAACCCCAAAACCCCATTTACATAGAATAGTAAAAATTGTATCAGATGATATTATTAATGAAATTAGGACATTTTTTATTTGCTAAAGAAAGATATATATGATTTTCACTCAGGGTAATTTATTGAGAATATTAATAGCTAGTGTAGGTTTATCTGTCATTACTCCCATTGCACTTGTTCCTCTATAAATCTTTTCTATATCACGTTCTAGGTTTGCAACATAGTAGTTAGTGTAAATACCTCTCTTGTTAAAATGCTTTATCATGTTATCGCAGAGATGACTTATGATCCAAGTCACAGCAATGTAAAGTACACTATAGAGGCTTGGCATATTTTTCATTCTAGCATAAGCATATTGGGCACTCATATATGGAATTGAAGCAAAATCCTCTGAAATCGGAACAAATGGCAGAAGTCCAAAAACATAAAGTAAAAAGTATTAAATGACCTTTCCAGAAGGCATAAATATAGGAACAGTTGGATCTCTCGCATTCAATTAAGCATTATATTTACTTTCAATTGTCCCAATTACTGTGGTACTTTTTCTATTATTGCTTTAAATTAGATTAATCAGTTGCTACTAAGCAACTTAATTTTCTGCATTTATTAATTCCAATACAATAACAGTGCTACTTGGTACTGCTGCGAATAGTTAAGATAAGGTTGCAATTTATCTGGAGTCTCCAGACTGCATTTCATAGGAATCATCATATGAAAACCATATTGGAATGGAATCCTTTAGTTATGGAAGGCTTGTTGAAGGAGTTTCAATAACTTTAGCATCAACACCACATGCCCTAATAAAATCCTCATCATGATATGCAATAAGGACATTATCTGAAGTAATTTGTATGTCTGTCTCAATTATATGAACTCCAATCGATTCCTATAGCATAAAAATTTACTTTAGTAAACTACTTATGTCATATCCTTTTCTGACTTACCGAATGCTAGAAAGCCTGAACTGTACTCTCTGGCTTTTCATATGCACCAGCTCTGTGAGATAGGACATATTTCTTTTGGTTTGTTGGTGGCTGTGGTAATTGTAACTTATCTTTATATTTATGTAAGAGAGTTGGATTCATTAAAAAGAAATAGGAAATTCCATTATAAACGCCTATCACTGCTAGAATTAAGTTTAGGATCATTTTTAAATTGTATTAAATTTATATTAAAATTTTATTGAATATTATAATATAAACTATCTGAGTCACGATTTTTCTATAGAGTTAATTTCAGTTTCTCCTACTACCATAGATCCAAAATCATATGGGGTTTTGGGGTTTTGGGGTTTTGGGG